CAGCATGAAGAAGATATTTTATATTCGCCATTCTAGTATCTGGTGATGCATGTATTCTAGAGTAAAACTGAGGTTTTTCTCAATTTTTGTTATAGAGAGCATACAGGGTGTGTTTATAAACTGTAACATCCACTTTGCTCAAAGAAGTGCACGGTTTTGTGATCTGTAAAGAAGGAAATATTTGTCTGATTCAAACTTTTTTTTTGCAAACGGGGGATGGAAAAAAATACCTGTAAAGAATTAGATTATTTTTACCCCTGAGGGAACTTGGTATTTCCTTTTTATAACTTCTTAGAGGTATTTCAACACACTTATGGATTTTGACGTCTGTCTGCCCTGGAGCTCCAGGTGAGGAGGGACTTGTCAGTACAGATGAGCAGGCTGGAGCAGCATTGCAGAGGGGAAATGCTCACCATCTGAGTCAGGGAGTTAACCCTTGATGTGCCAGAACACGTCCTTTTCCAGCACAGAGAGAGACTGAAAATGAGCTGGGAAGGACCATAGAAGGACACATAAGAGCTCTGCAGTGCCAATCCTAGAGTATAAATAGTGAATGAGACAACAGCTCGCTGTACAGCACAGTTCAGAGTTCGCATTGACTCTTGTCAAAGAGGAAAGTTGTACTAGAGTAGGAAAAAATCATGTTCTGGTAGCTGACAAGGCGGTGTCTCAATATATTTATTCATGTGAAGCTGGAATGTAATATTTTTACATTCGTTTTGTAATCGGTACACACACAGAAATGCAAAAAAAAATCAGAATCAAAACCGAGGACAGGACAGGTGAGGAATTTGGTTACTGTTTTGGTGACATCCAGGGAAGCTATGATAGGAAAGGTACAGTATACAGGAAATAATCTGCAGGCATACTGTCTCAGCTGCTAAAGAGCAATGTTCTTGTGAGAGATGACATTTTTTAAAAACCAGAGGCTGTCTTTAGTTGATTGATCAATGTGCATTTTCAGCAGCGATATTTGTGTCGTGGAGATACGGCTGCCTTTAAAGTTGTAAGCAGTGTACAATATGTTATTAGTGTGCACCTGGGTTTGTGTAAATACTGTACTCTGTGTCCATTAAATGACGATTGTCTTGCTTACCAAAACAATTTGTCTTTTGGTATGATTTTCTTTAAGACCAAATGTAAGCACCGTAGTAGTTGTGGAATGGCAATGTTTGCATATTTCATGAAGATGTAAAAAATTAATTTAATGTCATTGTGGAGCCCCGAGCAGTTGAATAGGTGTGTGTGGTACCTTGCAATGTATCAGCTTACTGAGGAGCACATGTACTCTACTTTAAAACAAGGGTTTCGGTTCTGATAAGCCGGGATTTGTCAGTGCGAAATTGCGTTTCAAACCTGTGAGGCCCGAGCTTAATTGACGTACATTTATTAAGTTAACTATGGTGTTTGTGCATGCAGAAGTTACTGCTAACTCCTGATGAGTCCAGGTGTAGGTGCAGCATTGACCATGACACAGTGGGTAAAGTGGCAGAGTAGCCATTACATTCATTCTGTACTTCATATAGCATTTACATGGAAATAAAATGATTTTAATTGAAGTTTTAGTAAATGTAGTCATCAGTATTCTAGCTAATAACATTTGTCTATCTATCTACCACTAGATAGGCAAATACAGAAAAGAACCATTAATTCAGTATTGTGATCTGCTGTGTTAGTATTCAAAAGTCTCTAAACATAGATAGATAGATAATACTTTATTAATCCCGTAGGGAAATTGATGTGTTACAGCAGTCCACCCCAAGACAAGCAAAACAGACATCAGAATAGTTATAAAACAAAAGACAAACAAGATAAATAAAAATAAATAAATACATAGGTGTGTGCAAAATGTGCTGATCATAGTCACTGTAAAAACAATAATATATGTGCATAGGTTTATACAGACTGATTGTCCAAAAAGTACAATGGAGTAAACATGCTGTCCATAGAGGAGCAAATGAAGGGCTAAAAGTCCTAGCCTAGGGCAGCGATATACACCCTGACAGCGGCATGGAGGAAAGACCTGCGGAAACATTCCCTTGAACACCATAGCTGGAGCAGTCTGTTGCTAAATGTGCTCCGCTGCCCAGTAACAGTCCCATGAAGCGGATGAGAGGTGTTGTTCATGATGGCTGTGAGCTTGGTCAGCATTCTCCTCTCAGCCACCACCTCCATGGGGTATAAACATGCTTTATAAAGAATGATAAAATTGTCTGTATAAATGGTAGGATGAGAATGGACACTTCTTGCTGTTCCTGTAGTGTGTCTCTTGGTAGTGTGTCCAGGACCAGTGGTACGACGTGCAGGATGAAGAGTTCAGCAGATGTTGGGTGAGATCTTCTTTGTCTCTTAGACAGGAAGTTTTTGGGAAACTGTGGGACCCATTACTTTTTTTTTATATTAGAGGGCAGTGTGAGCACACTTCAGCAATTCATCCCCCTCCTACAACATGTACTGTAACTCGTATCAAAGTTTAATTGAAGGACATAGGGGATGGAGTTTACAGCTAGAGCTGTTAATTCTGTACTTTTGGCTTTTTGGATGAGTCGTTTTTATTGTGTTAGCCTTCTGCTTGTTAGGATACAGATGTTTTAATTAGATTTGAAAAGATTTTAAAAAAACCATAATTGTTGGGGTTGAAGTCCCTATACTTGCAAACCCCAAGGCATTTTTTTATCAAAATTTTTTATTTGTATTTCTGCCAAATCAATCAATGTTTTTTAATGTTGCTTTATTAAATGTTTTGAATATTTTTAGGTAAATGAAGAATGCTTTGCTTACACATTCAGTTAATCTGAGGCTTTTTAATTGTTTAAAAAAAAGTTTTGTAACAGCTCTGCTAAGAATTAAAAGGCATCATGGCTGCCTCTAGGATAGAGATTGAGCACCACTCTTCTGGTTAACCTGTGGTCACTCTTCTGGCACTGTTACTTGACAATCATTAGACATTGTTACCATAATTATTTTGCTAACATAAAGGGAAGATTGTAGTAAGTATTAATACCACATTTTTGTGTTCTGTATGTTAAGATTTTTTTTCTCATTAGGGTTCTTTTGTTAGAATAAATATGTCAAAATGAATTTCAAGTGTGTGTACACTCTTATTGGCCTGTTCTTTAAATGTATTTCTCGAATAGTTGCAGTATATTATATAGTACAGATATCACTATATAGATAAACCCTCAAAAATGATTTGGCAGCATTTCACATTTGTCAAGAAGGATTTTCGTTTTGCCTTCTGTTAACTGGTGTGTGTATTGAGCTATACTGTATTGGCATTTGTGATTTTTATTATTTTCCGTTTAGCCTCAGTATTGGGTGTTGACAAAAGTATCCGAAAGTCTAATCGGAGTGCATCTAAACTGAAATTCTGAAGTATGAGCATGTGGGAATTTTATTACTTGACTTGAAAGTTGTTTTCAGTGGGGTTTTAAACCTAATGATTCACCCTTTTTCTTTTCTTTTCCAGTTTAGTTAAGCTGTGTGCTTCAATCGAAATTAACATAAATGTCAAACATTAGTCCTGCATCTCAAGGGACGAGAGAGATTGTACAGTATGCTGTAAATGCTGCTTTCCCTTCCGTTTGTCAGACATACTACAGACCATGACAAGTGGTAAATGCTACAGTATGTACAATGAAGCTTAAGTGCTGTAATCACCCGAGTCCTGATTTACTTTTTTAAACATTTGCTGCATTTTTGAAAATGGGTAGACAGCAGGAGTATGGAGGGATTTTTACCAAACCAAATTATCAGAATAAGTGCAATCATTTTTCTACTTTGTGGGATAGATATGGTGTTCTTCACTTTGAGCTGTAAACTCCAATTAGTGGCTGGGCAAAGGTTCATAGGCCAGTTTCAGTAAAATCGGAGAGGATTTTAATTTTGCGTCTTTGTTTTTCACCATCTGGCACTTAATGTAGCAATGTGTGACGTAATGACGTTGGTTCTCCACTTTGATGTCATTAATGTGCTTTTGCTGTTTTTTTTGACAGTGCTGGAGTTCGTGATACTGCCTGGTAGCCATGGATCAGAAAGACAATGGCAGCACTTTTCCCAGCTATAAACAATTGGAGAATTACCTTGAAAGGCACGATTCCAATTTTGTGTGGCTGCTTGTCGGTACGTACAGTATGTCCTTTGTCATTATGTGCAATTAAGTAACGCAGTAAATGCAATTAACTTAAACTATAAATCAACCCTTTTCCTTTCCTCTTCTAGTTTGGCGATTTTAGATGTAGTCACAGCAGGCCTATATCATAGATGAGAGGAAACATGATGATGACCGAGATTTCTGATCTTAAAAGAAATCCTGACTTTACAGAAGTGGGTGGGGCTGGCACAGGTGTGAGCAGTCACGGTTGCGCACTGCATCTAGTCCAACAAATGAAGTTGTTGCAAAGGTCAAATCATTTCTGGGCCTTGTCATCCCTACAGTTTTCTAACGGCTCTGCTTCAATGAGGAAGTGCAGGATTCTTGTGGAAATTCATTTATGTTCCAGTGAGGGAAGAGTGGCCCAACAGCACTAGTAGTGAGCAATGCAGGGCCATGCTTCACGCAACAGACGAGGGGGTTGTTGCAATACATGCTTTTGCTGCTTCTGCTTTTTACAAGAAAATGTTTGTCAATATCTAGCCATTTAGGTGTAGTGACATTCATTTGAACTGTGCCTAATAGAATTGAGTTTTTGATAAGCAATTACTAAACACGTTCTGTACTACTCAAGTGCCGTCTTCTGTTTTACCAGCCATGAGCTCTCCTTCACATTTATCAAGGTGGTTTATTAGGCAGGGGAAGGGGGTGTATGTTTTTAGCTCTAAGCATCATTTGATCAGTGTTTGATAACACTGGGAGATTGGGAGCAATAAAAGCATAACTCTGTAGAACATCTGGTCATCCAGAGCAAGCCAGGGGCGAGCTTTCTTTAGAATTAGCCATCACTCTTCAGCACATCCACTCTTTAAAACGTATTGCTTTGAAACCATGGTAAATAGCTGCAGGGAGCCTGCAGAAGGCATATTGGTAATACCTCAGTGAAACAGCTTGGTATAGATATTAGATTTAATATGTTAGGAAAACACCCTCTGGGTTAAGGCATTCATTGCCCTCTTGGTGTCTTTACTTTCTTTCTTAGAAAGCATGGAAGCAATATGGTATTTATATAAAATATAATATTTGCCCTTTTCTAATATATGCATATATATTTATTTGAAATAATATTTCAAAAGATGCATTTGATATAATGAAAGATATCTGAACTTAATATTCACTGTCTTAAGAGGTTTTGTTAATGGTGCTGATCTCATTGAATAGTGTTTTTAAAGATGTAGAGGAACACAGCATCACAGAAGGAAAGCTTGGTTTTTAAATTAAAGTCTTCTTCTTAATAGTTTTATTGCAGCGAATGCCAGATTGCATATGTATAATTTCAAAAGCACTTCTGTTAAAAGATTAGTTTTCATTAGTAGCCATAGAATGAATGCATTCTATAACCTACCAATATTTCTGTCATGCTGTCATGTCCCTGTTTATTTATAGGTTGAACTACTTTCAGAATTAAAACTATTTTCAGGTTTTCACCCTGAGCTAAATAACATGTTGTTTTTCAAAAAAATTGTATTTTTCGGTTATTGCCAAAGTCTTTAGTGGGTTGCACACGCGTTTAAGAACTTTGGAAATACCTTTTCATTCTTCTAAAATTGTTGCCTTTCTTTCAGCTACTATTCTGTCCTGCGGATGGATTATTTACTTAACCTATTACAACTCGAGGAACATCGGACTGATCCTAACCTTGATTATTAATAGGCTGTATAAAAATGGCTACATTCACATTGGTAAGTGAATACCCTGAGGAAGATATCTGGTGTGCACACAGGCTGTTTCTCATGCATTATTAAGAATGACATAGCTTAAAAGTGTAATGATAGACTGAGTCTTGAGATAATCATAAATAGAAATATTTTATACTATTTCGATCTCAGTGTACTGCGATATTTCTGTATGCATGGAACCGATCTATGTAAATATTTATTAAAATAGTGTCAAATACTTTAGTATGCACAGTACTACAAAACTTTGAAAATGTATTTTCCTTATTTTTAACATTTTCAACATATCACTTCAACAGGCTCCTTTTCCTTCTCTGTGCTGTCTGGAAAGGTCATGTTCAGGGACATTTATTACATCAACGAGGACATGTCTATCAGGTGAAACTTTTGTTGCCATGTAGAAATGTGAATTTAATAAATTGCCTGTGAGCTTGTTCAAGTTAGTAGCGAACCTCAGTTCATACTGTCATTGTGTGGAGCATTGTAGAATATGGATGGGTGACACTCCATAGTGCTATTTGGATCGCCACATATTATGTTGTACTGCTAATAGCTTTTGCTTAAGCTTAATACATAGTTACTCCAAGAGTGATCTCTACCTGCTGACACTTGAGACTTTTGCTGAGATCGCTAGACCAGACACAAGTGATGCTGAGATTGTTTTCAGTGTCTTTGACCACTCACTACAAAGGCGTCCCAGTAAACCCAATTCTCTGTATTTACTCTGAATCTGAAGCAGAAACTGATATTTAGTCCTGTACATCAGCTCAGTGATGCCTTAGGCAATGATCTCAGTAATGGATTGAGAAGCATTAACCCTCATTGCAGCTGGCAGTGTCTTGTGTGGTGGTCATAATACAGACACACTCATGACTGATAAATACTTTCATGATCTAACTTGGGACAGTGCAGGGCAGTTGTGGTGACTGGCCTGAGAGCCATTGACTATTACCTGGGACTCAGATGGTTACAAACCATCCTTTCCAGTTTCACTGCATTGAAATATTAAATAATGTATAAGCCTACATCAGTGTTATAGTTTTTGCAAGAGTTAATTACCATTTATGTGATTTTCCATAAAGTGAGACTGCTATGAATATAAGTTCACTCAAAAGATATTTTAATTTCCTTCTAATAAAAAAGAGACCACAGTTTTAATGGGCTAAGAAGATCTTACATAAATAATAGGCTCCTGTTAATAATTATATTTCCTAAATACAATTCACATTCTATATTCAGTCAATAATTAATCTGAAATGTTGAATTTAATCTGTTGAACATTTGTATGTCTCCACTATTAAGAGGAGACTTTTAAAAATGCAAGATTTTAAAAATATTTGTCATAATGTGCACATACAATTCTCCAGAAGCCCAGCACATTGGAGTTGTACAAAAACCAAACCGTGGTGAAACATCAGAGGAATGTGTTTTCAAAGTTTTTGAAATGCTTGGCCGTTTCTGTTGAGAATCACAGGAATAGAGGGTTCCTGAGTTGCCGTGCCAGTAAAAACACTCACTTGAGTACAAGTGGAGCTCTGCAGTATGTTCCAGGCATCATCACCTGTCGAGGAGAAGAGCAAAATCTGTAATGAACATCAAACTGTCAAACGTCATTACTTCAGTGAACCCTCCTGAAAGTGCTGTTAAAGACTTTATTGATCTTTTTATAAAGTGACCCCAGTGGGTATAGTGCCAATTTTTTCTTAATCTAAGGAGCACTAAAATTCCCATTATCTGTAATAGTTAAATGACATAAACAGTGCCTTCTGTGGATCACATTTCCTTTACATTCCCTGGAGACCTGTTTGATCTTAAGAAACACGTCAGTATGAGGTCAGAACGGCTGTCAGAAGGCCTTATTCATTAAGATAATAATAGCAAAGAAGAACAAGGTATACAAATGAATTTAACCTAATCAATATTTTTCTTGTGTAGAAAAGAACAACAAATTTGTATCTAAACCTGGGCTTTTAATTCTTAATCAGTTTCTGACAAGTCATTTAAGCTGGAAATTTTCTTCTCTGAAAGAAGCACCAAGTGTTTATTTTGACTGTACCAGTGCTGACAGTTTTATAGTGTTTTTGATAATGTGTCAGAAGGAGAATGAAACTGTTTTGCTTTACCTTTCTGTTTTGTTCTTTGCTTTATTCACATTTGATTTGGGTTTTGTGTAGTTTGCAGTTTGTATGTTGAAGTTGCTTTGATTTGTAAAATTAGAAGTTGTAATGTGCTACTTTTCTTTGTCTTTTCAGAATTCAAGATGGTTTCCTTATATTTCGGTGGTGGAAAATGTACAATCCAAAACAGAAGCAACATGGTAAGGCTTTACTTTATGCCATTGCCTAACTTATTTTCCAAATGGTTTTAACCAGGGCCCAGATTTTCATTTGTATATGTCAACCTAGGGTGAACGTGAAGTTTTAAGACTTCTGCATTAGAAAACATTTGCATGTCAGGCTCTTGTTTCTTGCCAGTTGGCCTCCATTGCTTTTTTTCTACTTTAGTATCCTTGAGCTAATCTCGTTTTGTTTTTTTTAACTACAGCTTTTCATATGTAAGGTTATTACCGGGCTTTGAATGTCACTGGAATGGAAACTAATTAAATAACGCATTGAAACGGTAAACTGTGAAAAAAATTGGCAAAGATATTTGTTACAAATCATTTAGTCCTCAATTAGATTGTTCAACATTGCACAAGAGAAAATGGAAATTGAAGATTACTCCCAAAGGATTGTTGTCCTAGATTACAATTGGAAACTAGTATCTAAAACTGTCTGTCCCAGAAAGGAGCTTGAAATGTAGAGATAAGTTTAAACTTTGTGGACAAGCATATACAGTTTCAGTGTTAATTGACACAATAATTATTTTCTCGAGTTTCATTGTAGATCAGTTCTATTTTTGCATATACATATGCATTTTTCCCTGTTAGGTAACAATTTCTTGAGTTCTGCTTTCAGTTAATAAGAAAGTTGGGTATCTGAAGCATGTGACAGTTTTTCTATTTAAATATTGAGCATCCTTAGAAACAATCTGTGTATGCATGCACATTGTTAGAAAAATAGTGTACAGAATTTAGACATTAAGTATTTTTGGTTAATCCTTTTGATTCATGACTGACTCTGATAGACTTGAAGGATTTTGACTCTCAATAGCTTGTGACTTTTGCAGCAGGGACCCAGAATTGATCAGCCCCGTTGATGACTAATATTAATCAACTTGATGAATTCACCCTTGTCAAATCTGTTGAATGAAAAGTCAGTGTACCTTCTACAAAAAATGTCATTTTCCCGATGATAAGTTTGTACATTTGTTGTGGTTGAAAATGATGTTTCTTTTGATTTTCTGCATTTTTTAACATGCTTATACTAAGGTTCTAAATGAAATCTGCTGTTTTTGGCTTATCTGGTAAAAGCTCCACCCAGAGCACATGCTATGATCATGTGTTCAAGTCTGGGTCAAGATCAGTCAGCTGTGACCAGAATTCCCTAAGTTACGGTGTTGCACTGGCTGAGCATTTACGGTGTTAAGAAAAAGTGTTCGTTTTAGGCCACGCAGTTAACCCAGTCTTCTCCTGAGAACTTGCAGTCCTAAAGTGCTTTCAGTGCCTCCTCTCCAATTGCTTCTACATCTCAGATGTGGGGCTGCATTGTGCTTCCTGTTTTAAAAGTTTTATTATTTAAAGGGGAACTGCAGCTCTATTTTTATATTTCGACATCAGAAAGAAACAGTTTTGAACGCTTGTGAAACACTATAAAGTAAACTTAATTTAGTAACTTGTAAAATCTCCAATTTACATCACAGAATAGATGAAGTTTACAGTTATGGTGAAGTGAAGCAGCCTTATTCCATTGTAAACAAGCAGGCTTGTGAATACATCTCTTTTAATCCAGTGAAAATATTGCTCTCGACAAAAGAGGGTTTTGCCTACAAATGCTACTTGCTTGTTAACTCTGCACGCAGAGCATGTTGGAACATTTCTGTGGTGAAATGCCTGCTGTACAACCTTCGCTTGTACATCACATTGCGTTAGTACAGGGACTAGTGAGCAGGAAGTTGCTGCTTCACGTCGCTATTTGTGGGCACTTGAATGCGAGTTTGTGACAACACGGCGACTTACTGTACTTTCACAAAGTTCACAATTTTGTGCTTAAGATTTTTCTACACCGTCCGTGAATTTGTTTTGTTATTAAGATTTAATGACCTGCCTGAGAAATTGGGACTGTAGTTCTCCTGTGAAGATATGGAGATCAGAGGAGATGACCATTTTCCATTTTGGGGAATTTACAGTGTAAATATTAAACATTACTGGTTGGGCTTGGACAGCTTAACTGCTAAAAGGTCCTTTGATGGGATTATGCCTTGAGAACTATAGCCTAGACATCACAAACTCAAGTATGGGCTGTTTTTGCAGCTGAGATTGGGTGGGTTAGGGTTCCTCTGGGTGTTATCTTGCAACCTGTCTGTGATCCCTGAGATTTTCTGGGAGCCTGTAATTTAGAGTTACAGCTATTTCTGTGCAACTGACTACTCCATTAAGGCACTGTGGAGCTGACACCGTATACAATAACATGATATAGCAATAGATATAAAATTGCTCATTTGTTTGCTATGCTTCTGTTTTAAAGTTAAATGCTTAAAATGCTTGTTTTTGTCTTATTTGTTTTTTAGATCCCAAAGCTGAAACCAGGCTGTACATAACTGTGAATGGGTTTGAATTCCATGTATACAACAGGACTGATCTTTATGCACGACTGCAAGAAACCTTTGGACTGGACCCAACCCTCATTATACCTAAAAAAGAAGAGGACAAAGTGAAAGATGGCAGGAAAAATACTCTTGAGAGGTATGAACATTTGATACGGAGTAACAATTCTTCTTATTTTGCTGTATAGAATGCTTTAAATATAAGCAATTAATAATTTAATAATAACAACCAATAATAATTTTAATCATAAAGATTAGTTTACGCACAGAGGCTTCATCTGCTGCACTTTTTTGCCAATGCTGAAGAGACGTTTATTCTAAAGAGAATAGTGTAACCCCAGAACACGTTTGTGTACAGTGCACGTACACTAAATAGAAATCTGAACTGCTTCCAGACTTTATGAATTGGTACCATAGTTGTGGTGTTAGGTGTTTTTTCAACAGCTTTCTTCTGATCCTAAACCGCCCATTCAGCATATTTCTGCACAGTTTTTGAAGAACAGTTTTGTTTTGCAGTGTTAACATCAAAACTGAGTCCCAAGACCCGTCATCTTCCTGGAGGTCCCTTATTCCTGTCATTAAACTGAACATTAGCACTGTAAGTTGCTCTGTGTCCGGTAGTGTGTGGTGCAATTTATAAACTCATGAGAAGCTGCATGGTGCAGTTTTTCGCTTAGATCATTTAAATGTGTTAGACAAGTATAACTAAAGTTTAGTTTCTTCTGTCAAGGAAAGCTAAATGACATTATTAGACAAAACCATTTTTTTCTGAAAATAAACATAAGTTTATTACTTCAACATTTAACTTCAAAGTTTATTCATATCCACTTTAAATAATGAATAAAGAAATAAATGTTGGTATAACCTGCACGAGCATTGTTGTCAGCACAATACAAGCACTAGCATTTGTTCAGTTGACAACCAACATTTGTATTTATAAATTGCTAAATGAAGCAATTGAGTAGGTTTACCTGAAAGCTATTATAATTACACCTAACATTTCACATCACATTTCACAAACTGCCAAGTTTCTAATCTGAGCCTGATGCATAAAGCTGAATTAGATTAGTCAATAAAGCTAGCATCCTCTCACCTGGGCTAACTGAATTTGGGTCCGTTTCCATGAAACCCATTAGCTTTCAAAAACAAAATACGATCTGTCACTACACATTTTGCCTTTTGTGAACGCTGTGAGAGGCAGAAAATACAGTACATGCTGTACAGTACAAGTATTGAAAAGCTTTAATTACTATTAGTCACTCCGTCTTTAAATTAATTGTTGATCAAATTGTTGAACGAGCATTCGTAAAGAGCATTAAAAGTAACCCATGTAAACTGTGTTGTAACATAAAAGAGATGTGAACTGTAGAATTATTTCTGTCCAGCCATCCATTTTCTGACTGTTTCATCCAATTCATGGGCACAAGCTACAGGCGCAATGCAGCATACACCCTGGATAGGATACCAGTCCATCGCTGTACACATGGACACACACACTCGCACCAGAAACAGTTGTTTCTAGAAGCCGATTAATCTACCATTACATCTTTGGACTGTGGGAGGAAACCCATGCAAACATGACAAGAACATGTGACCTCTACCCAGAGAGCACCCCAGGAATTGAACCCAGGGCTTCAGCGCTGTAAGGTGGCAATGCTAATCAGTGCACCACCATGCCGTCCGAGATGATTCTTTCTAAATAGAATCAAATTTAGAGGCTAAAAAAAGATCATTTGACTTGAAAATTTGCCAATGGTTAAAAGTTGCTGCACTAAGACCTCTTGGTGAGTTACTGGTGATGGGGAAAAGATCAGTTGCTCTGGCACAGACCGTGATCTGTTGAAAGAAAACTCCTCTCCATGCCATAAGGTACACTGAATAGACATACATTTACATTACAAGAGCCGCTCTGACAGAAGACTGGAAGGGCCAAATGGCCTTCTCTGTTTTTGCAACTTTCCTTGCTATATAAATTGGAACTCCCTAGCAAGGCTTTGTTTTCTGTTTTAATGATGAAACATGGATGATGCTGATATCTGTCTGTCTCGCTGTATAAGCCAGCCTCACCCTGTGTCTCACCATGATTCTGTTTGCTGTAAAGTACCTGGTACCTTCCCCCGCCATAAAGTCCTCTCTCTCTCTCTGCTTTCCTGATAGGGCCGGCTGGCATTTGGAAATCATTATCTGCCCCAGACACTCTGTGTGAACTTTGATGATGCCTTCCTGACGTACGCCACCAAGCCTCCTTCCAGTCACCTCGACCAGTTCATGCACATCGTGAAGGGCACGCTGGAGAATGTCCGCGTCATGCTTGTTCCCAGTCCCAGATACGTTGGGCTTCAGAATGACGAGTGAGCGAACGCTATTGCTCTTGATCTAATAATATAACCTGATTATGTAAAGTAAGAGTAATGGTGCTGGAAATGTCAAGGTCCTTACTTCAATGTGGAGCAGCTGTGTCTTGCAAATAGGTAATTTGCAAGCTTCACAAAGAGCCCATGGAACTGGCTTCCCAAGAGGTGGCTTGGGTATATTGTTAGAAAGAGATTTAGTACTTTCAGACTGGATACGCTTTGCTGTGAACAGTTGATAACTTTGGGCCTTTTTTTGGTGCAGAATGTATACATGTGCTTTCATCAAATGAAAAGATGATATATTTTTTACTTCTGTTTGGATCAAATTATATACATTTTATATATATATCATAAAAATTAAATTATGTAGATATCTGTTTGTATAAATACAGATTTATGTGTATATATCCACGTCTGAACATTAAAAAATTCCATGATGTGGCTCTTCTCAGACATTTTACAAGGTAACCTTTTCTCTAGTGTAAACTTAAGCTTGAGCTGCCATGGACATTTTACTAACAGGACAAAATGAGTAACATGCTGGAGGTCTTTATGTATGCAGTAAACATCCTGCTTCTGTAATGAAAATGCAACATTTGCTGTGCTGTTGACTGGTTTCAGTAACAATTATAATACTGATTGCTTATACTTACATTGTGCTTTTCTGGACACTCCAGGTAATAGGGACTCCCCTCCACTACCATCAATGTGCAGCATCCAGTAACGAACAGTAAACTTTGTTCCTGAAACACCCAATGTGCATTCAATATTGTTTTGTAATTCCTTTTTTCTTAAAGGCCACCAAGGTTGATGGGGGAAGGTTTTGTGGTAATGCAGTCAAATGATGTTGACATCTACTATTACATGGATGAACCAGGTATGTTGATGTTGCAGATGCTCAATGTCTGGCTGCTGAGCTGTTGAATTTTGATTCAAGCAGTGTGTGTGCTTGCTGTGTAGGACTTGTCACGGAGGAATTGGAGAATGGAGATGCAGAGCCTTGCAGCGAAGGCACCAAGCTCCAGGATCTGCCGCCATGCTGGGGACTGGATATTGTCTGTGGCAAAGGGACGGATTTCAACTATGGCCCTTGGGCTGATCGACAGAGGTACAGTGCTGCACTTTCCCTCGGAGCTTTGTTAATGAGGCAGACTTGCTTTTTGAAACCTGTCAGCCACAGTTCTTACAGGAACATGGGTGTTTAGAAATTTTCCCACTGACGATGCACAGATTGGTAGTTTTCTTTATGCTGTGATACATCTCTCGCGAGTCCGTCTCATTATCTTTTTTTGAATGCATTAATATCCATTCATTTGGAACTTCATTTAATAACATTTTACTCAAGTCCGAAATTGTATTCTACAGTTTTTTTGTACACCCAGAAAAAGAAAGCCAAGAAGACCACCAGGAGCACAGACATGCACATATAGTTAGGAGGAGCAAAGGTGACACTGTCTGAAAAACGCTGTTTCTATTTCTGTCCTTCAAAGGAGATAAAATAAGTAATGTTTTGGTGGGGAAATGCTTTTATAAAGGATGTCACAATAGCAATAACAGAGACCATTACATAGCATAGCAATTACTTTCAATTAGACAGTCAGTTCATCAATCCATTTTCTAATAGCTTTGTCCAATACAGAGTTGTGGGGGACCCAGAGCCTATCTTGGCAAGCAAAAGGCACAAGGCAGGATACACCAGTCCAGTCGCAGGGTACACACTAGACACAAACATGCACAAACTTGCCCCAGGGCCGACTTACTCAGAAACCAGTTAACCTACAGGTATGTCTTTGGCCTGTGGGAGGAAACCAGAGCACCAGGAGGAAGCCCACGGGAATGTGGGGAGAACATACAAACTCCACGCAGATATCTTTCCAGCAATTGAACCCAGGGCCCCAACACTGCGAGGCAGAAATGCTAGCCACTGCGACGTTGTGCCAGTCCAATTAGAAACCACTGTTATCAATTAACTCAACCCCAACGCAACCCATTTACATGCAGAATTCCCCAATATCCCTCTACCACTTTGCTGTTGCTGTTAGTTAACTTTCTAAGTATGTTTGTGGTTTGGGGATGAGTGATGATGCCATATCCCACACGCACTTGCGTCACTCACCCCCAGTTCTCTATCTCATATTGCAGAGACTGCTTGTGGAAGTTCTTCTTTCCTGCTGACTACCAGCCCATGAAGGCCACAGAGTTGGCCCAGCCCGGAAAGCCCCGACAGATCCTCGCCTTCGAGCTGCGCATGAACATCATTGCCGATGCCACCATCGATTTACTCTTTACCAAAAATAGGGTATAAGAGTTTTTTTTTTTTAATGTTGCTCATTTGTGATTTTTAGAACATTAGAAGCAGAATGGTGTATTGGCTTCCCAGATTTACCAATATAACCAGTGATCAATAAAACAAGTAAATTATCGGTGAAAAGCTTTATTTCATTTACTAGCTTTCACCCTCTGCTTACAGCGGTGTTCCTTAGATGTGCAAGAGTCTGTTTAATAGTCAAAAAGCATCATAATTAAAGACATCCATCCTGTATAAATGATGAATGGTAGGTAATCCTCAACCATTCATCAAGTGTTGCCATGTAGGCTGCATTTAGAACAAGTTGGAAGGAGAATTAAGTGACATAGTGTCAGAAGAATGTCAATTATTATTCTGTTTGTGTCTGTTTTTGTAGATAATTTGACTTTCTAAAATGAATTGGAGGGGGGGGGGAATCTTTCAGATAAGATTTTTTTGGTTGAACAGAACAATGTATTCAAATTAGTCTTAACAATCATGTGATTGCTTTCTAGGAGACAAATGCTGTTCATGTGAATGTTGGTGCAGGTTCTTACCTGGAGGTTAATATCCCCATGACTGTGGGGGAGAATGGTAAGGCCAGTATACTACATAGTATGCGTCTGTACTGTATGTTTATATAGACTGGCATAAGTTGGACTAAGTTGTATATTGTTGTGATTGTTCAACATAAAGAGGCTATTTTAATTTAGCCAAATATTATTTTTAGCACTTGTTCAAGTTAAAATATGATCTGTCAGCTTGCTGCATCAGAGTTATTCAAGAAGTAAGAAATTAATCCACTGCCTTTCGCTCATGGATGTGGTCGTGTTGCTGGCACAAGTCTGTAGTTGTCACCGTTGTATATCAGGGTTCTCATCCCTGGTTCTGGGGGTCTGGAATTCAGTTTTTAAATCTTTGTGATAAAGGAATACATTTGTCTAGTTCAGCCTTAACTGGATCAGTGTAACCTCTCCCACGTGATTTTGTTCATAACATAAGGAGACAGAAAATTTCCAGACACGAATTGTCACAGCTGGAAATTCCTGCTGTTGAGACTTGCATTGGGACATGATGGTTACAGTTGACATTTGATCCATCTAGCTTGTTTTTTTCATAGTTAATTGAAATCTCATCCAGCTGCTCTTTGAAGGAAGCTAAATGAGGGTAAATCCCCTCAAAATCACGTCTGAGCAGGTTGTTCCATACTCTAACAAACTTTACATAATAAAGTGCCTCCTCTTGTCAGTTTAAGCACTTCCATATAATTTGTGCCACTGTCCTGTGTTTGACCAACCAATAAACTTTGCATGCTGTCAGTAAAGTATTATAAAATCAGACTCCCTTGATATTTGAAGAATAAATATTGACTGACATTTTAAAATTATATTGTTGAAAAAATTGTGAAAATATAAATATACCAAGGATTTCCAGTGCTTAGTCTGCACATTTGTGGAAACAATTCAAGAACTATATTACTTACCAAATAATTGCTTATAAAATAGATTGTACTGCACTTGACTAGTTTAGCTTTATTTTGGCTCTATGAGCTCTGTGAACTGGCATAATTGGACATTTGGGATCTCTTTATCATCAGTGGTTCATATACAAAGCTCAAGAGACCCTGCCCTAGTGGAAATTCAAGGACTGCTTATGTCTATTTTGTCTGTGTCCTTGTTACCGATTTTAATTTTTTAACAGGATCTTTTTCAGAAATTAGTTCAAATGTACTTATACTGTAGTTAAAAGCTAGCCGTTGCTGCATTCCAGCAGCTGCAGATGGATTCGTGTTTTTTCAAAAGAAACCACATTGGTGGTGGAGGAGGGGAGTCCCCATTAACTGTCAGGTGCTTTGAGTGCAGTGTCCAGAAAAGCGGTATATAAGTGAAATCAATTATTATTATTATTATTATTATTATTATTATTATTATTATTATTATTATTATTATTAATTACACCTAAGTTATAATGAGAAGGACAGTAATTTGAAGGACCGATGGTTGCAGTGGCATCAAGTGCTCAACATCCTTAACTTTGGAGGTGATTTAATCTTTTTTTGTGCAGACTTTTGGAATATTTTAACAGTCATATTGTTGATTGGAAGCCACAGTTTATATCTGATTAAAATGAGCTTCCTTTGTCTTCCTTTCCTTAGAATTTTTAAAGTCACTGTTAGGTATAAATTGCTTATGGCAGACTTTAGACGTTGTAAGTGATCCCCAGATCGCCGCACTACTGTAATCAAAGAAGTACTTGTGTAAAGCAGAATGATGAGGAAGGATGTGTTTGGCAACTCACAGGCTCAAGGATGTAGTATGTTCATGAACTTCTTAGTATACTTTGTTTCTCATTCCTGTTTTATTATGATTTCTGTAAATATAAAAATAATTTGTTACCATGTTAGAAAGGCTCCAGAATCTGAACTTACTATATAATGGTGTGGAAGTGCATGGTTCAAATTTTTTTGGTACTGGTACCTGAACTTTGACCATGTTTTCTCTTGTCTGTATAACTGATGTATTTATCACATGTATCAGTAATTGTAAAAAATAAATCTAGCAGTAAACCTTTACCACCCAGCCTGCTTCCATATAAGCTGGGATTTTCTGTGATACTTGACATTAGTGCTAAATGGGACCATTCTCAGTATCAATAATAATCTATTGGACATGATATTGACATATTGTTACTTTGGTTGTGTACCATTCTTCTGCCATTATGTGAGCTCTCAAAACCTCATTGGAAATAGAGGATTGTTGTGTTTCTTCTGATTTGCTGATGGCAACAAATGTCTTTCCTTTCTTATCTGTTTCTGCAGGCTACTCGCCCACAATTAAAGGTCAGCTCCTACATGTGGATACGACCAGCAGCATGCAGTATCGAACTCTCCTGGAAGCAGAAATGCTTGCTGTGAGTAAAGCTAGAGAAAAGTGTCCTTTTCAAGCCTTTTCATGTTTTTCAAATGTCTACATAGTAGATGTGCCAATTAGAATATACTGTAGTGCAGCCAGTGATCGGTTCTTATTTTTCACTCCAGCCAGGGCTTGACTGCTCTGTTCCTTTAAGTCGGGTTTTAAAGTATGTTGTAAGTTTATTTTAAAGCCGCTATAACACCACTAGCAGTTTTCAGTTTTCAGTATCTTTTTACCACTAATATGCCTTTAAATATAAGAGAAAACAGTTGTGTGGTGTACCTTTTCTTCCTCTTAGTAGAATTGCGTTTTTTGTCTCTAAAGAAAGCTAACAAAAGCAAAGAAAATCCCTGGTCCCTTCCAATTCAGAAGTCATTTTATGTGATCTTCACAAATGGAAATGCAGGTGTTAACTGTTGAAAGTCAACTTTCCATTTTTGACAAAATGAATATACTTTGACAAGCCTTTAAAGAGTCCTTTGAAAGACAAATCAACTACAAATACATTTTAAAGGCTTTAACTTTTAGGTTAAAGATATTCAGCCCTTTTTTCCCTTTGAGCTCATTCATGTAATTCGAAGTGTTTGTTTTGCCCAGAAATACTAACACCTGTGTAATAAGAAGTGTGGAGGTTGGCGGCTTCACAGACAATTAAAAAAGGTTGAATAGCAGTCCTTATCCCACTAATTATTGTTTTTTTTTGTTTTCTGTACAAGGCTGGAAAGGTTCTTTTTTTTTCTGCAAGAAGCATATGGCTGAACATGAGCCACAAGTGATTAATGAGAGACCAGCTTACACAATGACATAGTGACAATGCGTAGAAGATGATTTTTAAAAAACAAAGATATTAAATCAGAGGGAAGCCTAACAAGCCTTCTGTTTTGCACAGCAGGGTTGTTTGAGTTAATAGTCAGAAGCGCCATGCCACATCTTCCTTATCTGGGTTTGTGGATTCATAAGCTCAGACATTCGTAGCCTCTGATATTGCTGCTTCTTGTGTTAGAGAAAAACGTCTAAGTGGATTTAGAAATACTCAACTTCAGCTGCAAGTTTATTCTGCAAGCTGAGCCATATAATTTGGATGTTGCTTTCATTTTTCATTTAGAATGGAAGTACATAAGGAAGCTTGCAAAGGAGGAGGTAATTCTGATGGTGAAGTTTGTCTGGTTGGCAGTAGATAATCGATCCAAGTATCGTATCCAGCTGTAGCAGTGTGTTTGGGATCCAATTGCATGACTGAGGAGCTTGTTCCAGATTTCCCACAAGCCTTTGTGTAAAGAAATGCCTCCTGTTCTGTACTTAAAGCTCTTACCCACAGTTTTTCATCTCTGTCCTTGACAGACATCAACAGTGGTTTACTGTTGATTTTGATTAAGTTCGTAGAATTGGTGAGCTTTGTCCATGCCTTAATGATTTTGAGGTACTTGAATTAGGTACCTTCACAGCCCTCTCTGTTGGAGACTAAAGAAAGTTAAGTTATTTTAGCCTGCCACTAGAGGACTTTTCTTTGAGCCTGTGAATGTAACTGAGGACTGATTCCAGAGCAGCATTTTTTTATATCATGGTGTCTGAAAATTGTACACAATCCAATAGTTTCCCACTCCTGGATATGGAGTACTCCTGTATCTTTTGGTTTTCACTCCCTCTGAACATAGTTAATTTGTCTCATCAAGCTCATCAAAGCATTGTGAAAGTATGGGACAAACTACCCAGCCATGCTGTTGAAGCTGATACGCTGACTTCTTTCAAGAACAGTTGGATGAGAGCCTTTGATTTAGCCACTAGCAATCAGACAGTATAGAATGGCTGAAAAGTAGCATGCAGACATGCAGAGTGCTACATCACATGTCGACTGTTAGATTTTGCCCAGTCTTGATTTTTGTATAAACCTTTTTGATTTCCCTTGGCACCTTCTACAGTTTTCAGTTTCCCTTTATTTGGTTTAATCTGCAAAATGTACTATTTTCTTCCCTATACCATGTTGATTTTAATAAATCAGGTCTCCGTTTTATTTTAGGTTTACCTTGACCTTTTCATCTGATTTTGTCTGCAGTTTCACGTTAATGCCAGCTATCCAAGAATCTGGAACATGCCTCAGGCCTGGCAGTGTGAAATTGAGGTCTATAAAGCAACTTATCATTTCATCTATGCTCAGAAAAACTTTTTCACAGGTAGGTCATGTATACTGTATATGGGATCGGTTTAAATTCTAGTGGATTAGAAGAATAAAGATCCTGTCTCTCACTGTTGTTTATTACATACTATCATGAAGTCATTATTCTAAGATAGAGAGTCATTGTTTTGCAGTATTGATCTCTAGCACGTGCTGTACATTTGCTCAAATCTTGTTAAAGATATTGGATGAGTCACATATTGGATGAGTCACTTTTATGTGAGGAGATGGTACAGATATTTCAGCAGGATCTTTGTCTACATGTATCAGAGTTATTTTGAATGAGGGAAATATTTTAATTTTTAAAAAGCCCTGCCAGAGTGTGGCACAAGAGTACATTCCGCTTGGCTCTCCTGCCCTTCTCACACATTAGAGTGGTTAACAAATATAAAAGTGTGTAATACTTGGTCTGAAATCAAATCTTCCAAATTTTCCATGTGTTTTCATCTTGAGTTATTTGGAGATGAACTTCAGTATCATGGCTCTTATCTTTTAAAAGGCCCATATTTAATTATGAACTTTGATAATCAAAAGTTTCAACCAGCATTTAATTATGCAGGTAGCCTCTAAATTTATTTAATTGCTTTACAAAGATTTCATTTGCAGTATTTGGAGCTGTGGATATTAATCATCTGCATAATGTTAAGAATAGTGAGCTTTTTGTGTAATTTTAAACAGACCATCAGTGTTGATGAGCATCACTGCATCTGTTGTTCTCTTTCTAGTATTTATGTTTTAATTGGGTATGGACAGTAAACTAACCTTCAGTCTTTAGAATTGATCTTAATTCTCAGTATGCCCAGCCAAATCCGCACCCCTACCCACATGTTTTTGTGTGTGGCACATTAACAACTTAAAAAGCAGCTGGTTGGTTTTTTGGGGGGCACTTTTCACTAAAAGTGTTAGTGACCATTGCTCATTTTTAAAATTCAATCCACTTGGCATAAGAAACAATTAGTGAGGCCAGCCCTCTGTGTGGCCTAGATTTACTGTAGTGTAAAAACAACATAATGCTCTTTAATCCCATATTTGTGTTTTGATGTAGTTGCCTTTCTTTTTCACAGTGCCTGTATGTCTCCTTTACGTCGATGATATTATGTTTATTGGTTTTCAATTGGTTTATTGGAGTCTTTGCATTCTAATGCATAGCAATATTTGGGGTCTTTTAGGGTTTTCAGCCAGGTTATGTCTAGTGCTTTTTCTTTCACAAGGGTACAGTTTCAAGTTTCTTTCTGTCACCTACAGTCCCTAAATAGCATTTTTAATTCTGTTTGTGTATTTAAATAAATAAAGAAATTGAACAGGTTCAATATTGAGCATAGTTCCAGTGAGGAATCCTCACTGGGTCCTGGATAGAGTTCAGTGTTTTTGCCTTGCACCTGTGCTCTAATCCCGGACATCATCAAATTATGGCCTGTGGTGGTTTATTATTACCTTGTGGGTGTTCAGTGTCCTGTCATTAAAGTCCATTTGTCCTGCCATGTTGTTGAAGCCAATACCCTGGCTTCTTTCAAGAAATGGCCTCTTCTTTGCAACGTTTCATATGTTCTTAATTAGGTCCCTACAGTGCAATTTTTGTACTTTGTCTCATCGTCATTTACCTATCGCCTATGAAACAAGGTCTGCAGCTTCTTTCTGTCAATATTTCTACTTGAATCCTTGTGATTTGCTGAAAGGGACTGTGGTGGTTTTAAAAGCATTTCTGAATTAAATGAATTCATTCTTTCTTTGATTTACAGCAATGAAAAAACTAAAGACAAAAGTGCGAAGTGAATACTATTCCTTTAGAAAAGGGACAAATGGTACCTTTAGTTTTGAGCATTAGTGTAATCTAGAAGGTCCTGCCCATGTTAGTATTCATAACTGTAGTCTTGTTATTTTTTTCTTAAAGCTTCCCCGTGGATCAGTCACCTACTAAATTAAATAGTCTTTAATCTGTAGGGGGCTGTATAAAAATAAATCACGAGCTCAAAAGGTACATTGGCTTTGGCTGATGATACGTTAATAGATTTTTTTTAATTATGAAATTGAAAAATTCATTTCCTGGAACAGACGTCGCATTTAGAGCATGTCCCTATGGTTACCACGTTCATTAAAAACTTTAATTTCCTCCTTAAATTTTTACAATGAGGGTTCATTTTGGTTTGTTAGAAGATGGGAATCTTTGCATTCATTTAGTCTTGTGACAGGACACAATTGAAATAATATATTTATTAATTTAACATTGGCTTACAATTTGCTGCTCATCAAACTCTCAATGGTGACTTTAGACAAAACACTATCCTTTAATGACTCTCTTTGTCATCATACCAGTACTTTCCAAATTAGAGAGAGGTCTTACAGTTGATTTCCGTGGTTACTTGTGTTTTGCTCCTTATTTGAGTTTCCATTTGTTCCTTGTAGAACCCCTGAAAATAATTTTAAAGGCTATAGAAATATTTTCTTGCCGAAAGAGCAAACTCGCAGTCGTTGCTATTCATCTGTCTTGAAAAAGCCAGTGCTTTGGTCATGCCAATATGCCAAATTATAATGCCTGAAGAATTTCATAAAAAGATACCAATGAAGATACCATTGGTATCTTCAGATAATTTAAAATGGTTTAAATGACAACTTTTAGGAAAGCACAGCCAAAGTGTAGAAATCCTAGGAAAAAATAAATAAAATTATAATTACAGGAGAAGGGGGCAGTGGGAAATGTACACGGAACAATCCGACGGGCTCTGTTCTACATTTTATATTTTGCAATTGAAAACAGAGCAGTAAAAAACAAGTAAAAATACCACTGGTGGCTACCCTTCCTGCTATCCCATTACTCACTAGTTTGAATACTGTTGCCTTTGGGCTGTTCTTAGTCTCATGGGGCAGTCTCCTTACAGTGTCATTGTTTCAGGCTTCTTATGACAAACATTTTGCTGCCAGTCAAAGTTCAGGTCAGGTTCAGGCTTTATTTTGACACTCTGACAGGTGTTTATTGGGTAATGGAAGGTCTGTAAAATCACTCGTTCATTTAGATGATGTGTCAAAAAAAAGGGCTTTTGAAAAGACAAAGCAGAAAACTCAATCTTTGCACAACACTGAAAATCAAGAGTTGCTTGAAACGTTTTGAGAAGCTGCACAGGGTGGTGTATTTAGTTTGAAAATAGTGAGAACTGTCTAGGTAAGCACACTGCTGGGGAAAAGGTAGAGGTTAATTCCATGGTGAAAAGTAAAAAATAAGAATAACATGCTTTACGGTGTGGAATTTTCTTCAATATGTGATATGTGAACATGAGATAAATAAAATAAAAATAAAAATCATAGTTATCAATTTTGTTTTTTGAGGTCTTATTCTGATTGAGTGTTTGTTCCTGTCTTTGAAGACCTGATACAGGACTGGGCGAGCGATAGTGCACCTGACATCTACTCCTTTGTGCCATACTCCTGGAAATTCAAAGTTATGTTCTATCACTTTGAAATGATCTGGGCAGCAAATCAGCACAACTGGATCGATTGCTCTACCAAGCAGCAAGAAAATGGTAAGTCAGTGTTAGCACAACAGATCTGTGCTGTAGAGCTCTTTTATAGCTACTCACACAGGACACTTAGGTGAGTACATCTTGTCTCATAATTATGGCAAATCTGTTGGTCCTGAAAAGAGCAGCTTTCTCGTTGCTAATTGCCTGAATTATGTTCAAAACAAAATGGCACTTGATCAAAAAGCATGAACTATATTCAGTCTCCTTTGAAGATGAAAAATTAAATTCTATTTTGAGCTCCGACCAGAACAATCTTTTAATCAGCTGATGATGATTCTTGTCCATTGGAAGGCTACTGGAGAAGAAACTGTTGTTATGCCCTTCATCAAGATGAGATAATACCAGACTTGCCTGGTGTATGATTGGAAGCTGTGGTATCGGTCATTAGGTGGTAATGATGCATATCCCTCAGGTTGTTACTTGTTACATCACAACTCTTCACTTGTTAATATGCTTATATTTGTTGAGCTCATTTTTGCTCAGGATATCTAAAAACTGGCTGCTTAATAACATGTTCCAGAAACCTGAATCCATGCAAATAAGGCGATTCATTTTCAAAAGCATTTACATTTCTAAACGATTGCAGATGGTGTCCTGGGATTGTGAGTGGAAGGGATGCTGGAAATTTATTTCCCACCATTATTAAATGAAAATGAAATAAACGTGATCTGTTTTACACTGGTCTGCTTGGGAAATGTGCTTCAGCATGTTAACAGATTGGTTTATTCACTGCATAAAGGTATTAGATATCATTAGGCATTTGATATAATGCAAAAATCTTTAGCAGCTATTTAATATGCACTGAAATTAACTACAGAAACAATGCATCGAAACTCAAAAATAGTCTTGTTGATGAGTTTACATGTGCTTTTGTTTCATTTTTGTAAACCCCTGGAGGTTGGGGAATAATTGTACAGGTGTATGACTACATTATTGAAATGAATGGCGCAAGATTAAGCAGTATATAATCTTGATATGAATAAAAGGATTCCATTTTTTCCTAGATCTAAATTTTGTTTCAAAATTTTTAAATCAAAACAAGACATTTTTTAGGGTCCTGAATTTAGTGCTTCCCTCTGTTGGAAGAACAAGTAGGACAAGTTGTGAAGATGATTGTGGACCACCAGTTGTGTCCTTACTGGGGAAAAAAAACGCTACCTCACTGTGGTGGAACAAGAAGTTTAGGATAGATTATCCTAAGAAAATTATCCTGGTTTTGCCTGTGCTGTAGAAGTTGATTGGCTTTTATGCCATAACTCTAGAGTCTGAGCCACATGTAACAGTGGTCATAAAAATGCAACTTTTGTTTCTTGTAATCAAATTAATTTTAGTTTGAAGCTTGATTTTTTGTTTTACCCCCTTTCACATGGTTTCCAGCAGTTGTTAATGTGAGCTGTGGGCAAGCTTTTATGAGTTTTCTTTCGTGTGTAGTTCGTTTAAAACGGTATGTAACATGGTAAAGTCAAAGAGTTTCATTACTTGTCTGCTGTCCTGTATTAATGTGCTCAGAATTGGGACTTATTTTTACTCTGAATGACCCTCGTGTTCTCTCTTTGCAGGAAATAACAATTATGTTCTTTTTATTTTATAGTTTATCTTGCTGCCTGTGGAGAAACCCTCAATATTGATTTCACTTTGCCTTTTAATGAGTTTGTTCCAACTACTTGCAACACCAAGTTCTCTTTGAGAGTAAGTAGCTTATACCCTCTTTTCAAGCAAGTTGATTTTGAATGTAATAGAGAAGAGAACACGTTTGTGTGTTTGCTTTAGATTTATTTTTTAAATGTTGCAGTTGCAGTTGATATTCTTATTTATGACATTTGTCCAAATATTCTTTAATGTTGTCATTATTCTCATGTTTCTGTGTTTCTTTGCCTATTGTAATAGAGAAACACTGTTTAATTCACTTGCCCAGATTATTATTGCTGCTAAATACAGTATGTGTAGTATGGGCAATCAGCATGAGGTTTCCTTTTCCAAAGTTAGAGACCGTGTAAGTAGTTGGAATCATTTACAAAATTTTGCTTAGTGATTTATTGTTGAGCTCTAGCATTTTTAACTGTTAATTCTACTTGCACTGCTTTGTACATTTACCACACGTATTTCATACTAGGCAGAAGATACCGATCTCCAGTTATCGCTGCCAGAATGTCACCCAAGCAGATACTCCCTCCTTACCCTGGTGAAAGATTACCAGCCAAACAAAATCCCTCCGGAGGCCTGCATTTCTTCTGAGAGCCAGCACGGAGCGAAACCAGGGAAACCACGTTGGAGAAACATTACCCAGTCTGAGTGAGTATCACTGACTGCAGTTTGGTTGGAATACAAGCAATGTTACAAATAAGAGGAGGCTACTCACTCTACATCTTACCTGTTTGGTGGTTAGTAGGTAATTAATCAAAGGATCTCATTCTTGAAAAAAGTCAAGATACGGACTTCAACGACATGGCTGGCCAGCCTGTTCCATACTCCCACAATCCACTGGGAGAAGAAGTTCTTCCTCTTCTTAGTTCAAATGCACTTCCTTGTGGTTTTTCACTTGTCCTCTCGTTCATCTTTCTGAAGACGTCTGGGTTTAGTGTGTATTTGTTTCGGGTCCCCTTGTGGTTTTCTCTGTTCAGTACTGAAAAGGTCCAGCTGATTCCAATATATTTTTATTTAAATGACCTTAATTGTACCCAGTATTCTAAATGGGGCTTTGCTAGTGCATTATACATAACATCCATTGATTTCAATTCTACACTTTTTATTTTTTGCCTTTTTTGTTGCTTGCACTCAGTGTCTAGACTCTAGAGGATAATAAGCGATGTTTAAACATAAACACCCAAGTCTTTTTCAAATATGCCTTCTTCTATAATAAGTGGTCCCCATTTTGTATTTATCATTTGTTTTTGCTGCCCAAAACAATGCGCTGCTCTTATTTCCATTAACCAGGATGAGCCAGTGCTCTCCCAGTCTTGAATGTCTAAATCTTATTTTAATCTAATGTTTCTACAATGGCTTGCTAATCCTCCTTTTTTGGTATAGTGTGCAAAAATGACCAGTTTGAAGGTTTCCTTTGATTTACCTTTCCGCTTGGGTCTAATTGCTGCTGTATCGCCAAAAAGCCTTAACTTTAATAGATAATGGGGTGCCACAAAAGCCAAACTAATATGAAAAAGACACCCCAGTTGTTAAACTACGTATGAAAATCCACAGTAATTAGGGAAAGAGGCCTTTTCTTTTCCCCTATGTGATGGATTTCTGCTACTGTAAGTAAAAGCGATGAAAACTGAAATACAGATGAAATGCTGACAGTTGTGGTGGATGTCTTTGAATGTTTAGAGCTGGCTGGGTTGACTGCTGGAGTGTTCCAAATTTTATGCTCACGATTGACTACACTTGGCATCCTATTTATCCTCAGAAGGCCGACGAACAATTAAAGCAATCCTGTGAGTATTTTGAGCCCGATTTGTGTTTTGTAATGAATATTGAAGATCCATCAACTACAGAGAAGACATCCAAGATCATCTACATTTGCATTTATCGATCCCATGCCATTATAGAAGTGTTCATTTTATTAATCCGTGATGTTGTTTAGCTTTTTAGATGGAAGGCTATATGGTAAAAACTGTAACTGATGATTGATAATTACTGATTTGTTTGGCTGTTTAGTCACCTTTAAGCAAAGTGACTTGCATTCAGGCCCATTACTCAGTATTTACCGGAACAAAGGTACCACAGCAATGTCTAACCTGGGGATTGAACCCAAAACCTTTATGGTACACAACTCGGAACCCTATCCACTGCTGCCAAAACCTTATTTTCTTTTAGAAAAGTCTTTACTAAATACGATGACAAATTTTTTATTTATTGTTTAGTTTTTTTTTGTTTTAGACTGAACAGCCACAGACTTGTGTAGAAGTTAAAATTAGCGCAGGCTAAATCAGTGTAGAAATGTGAGAAAATTAAAAGAAACGGGTTTGGCTGTGGAGCCTTCTATAAGTGCGCAAACCCGAGTAATGGTCCATAGTTTTTTCGTTTATTTTTACTTGTGCTTGTTTGTTTGGAGTTCCTACACTAACCTTGTCATTCTCAAATTAATGTCTAAATTAGAGAAAACTATGAGTGTTCTCATACAGATAGAACTTTCACCTATCGATTATCAGTCTTTGGTTTTTCATGTAGTATTTCTTTACCCAGTGTCAGAAATGGAGGAGTCTATGCTGTCCGTCCTCAGACCATCACAGAAACCTCCAGAACGTGCGGCGTCTCCTGTCCAATCTAGCAGACCTCCTCTAGACCCCTCGGAGCTGCCACCTGACAGACTGCACGTGGAGATGGAGCTGTCGCCAGACTCGCAGATAACTCTCTATGGGCCCATGTTGAAAGCTCTTGTGTCGATAAAGGTATGGAGTAATAGACTTTGAGACCTCTTCTTTTAGAGACAGGGACAAGAACTGTAGTCTTGATATGGTTATATATGAGGAATTCTACCAATTTTGTTTTGCATTCCCATTTAATTTGTTTATGCTTTGTTTTCATAAGTTCTGCCAACCCACTAACGTATATATCTGCAACTGGTATGTTTCTTGCTGAAAGGCTGGTGTTTAGTAATTTTAGGGGGGCGTAGTCTTTCAATAATATGTAATATATCCTTACACTTGATGCATCTGCAGCCAAAGTGCGCTCACCATACATCGGCTATCAGTGGGGAGGAGAGCAGAGTAATGAAGCTAATTCATAGATGGGGATTATTAGGAGGCCATAGTAAGGGCCAATGGGAAATTTGGCCAGGACGCCGGGGTTACATCCCAACTCTTTTCAAGGAAGGTGTTGATACAGTGCAGTATAGTAATACAGGACATCTTCATGGTGGGAATCCTGAAAACTATAGATCAAGAACTCCATCCTCCTGAGTGATTGTTGATGACATTGGTCAATTTGTATACAGCAGATGTAATAAATACATAATACAGATGTATTTGTGTTTTCTAACACATCTCACTGTAATAGTCATGTGATGACACTGAAAAGTGTTTGGGATTCTTTATTTGAGGCCTTTTCAGGCCAAAAAAACAATAACACAAGGGCATTTAAAAAATACATCTAAGAGTACTATCACTGTGCATGCCCTTTATATATAAGTCAAGAGCTAATTACAACCATGAGAGAATGTGTATTCCTAAACCCTTTGATTATTAATAATTAACAAATTAACTCCCACTGTAGCTATCTACAAGCATTGTAGAGGCTGTGTAGTGACCTCTAGTGGTAGGCCAGCTGCAATTACAGACCTCTGTACAGCTGACTTGCCACAATGAGTGAATTTGTGCATACCTGAAGGTATCTGTTACAGCTAGATCCAGTTCTCCTTATATGTTCTTCTCTCATGCTTGGGGGGGCAGGGCGCAGTGTAGAATAACATTCTTTGAAACGCATTGTGTATGTCTACAAAGGATTCTGCAACCCCATTTCTGAATCTTCAACTAGATGTATGTTTAGATGCATAAGAACAAATAATTCTATTTAATACCCATGTTCCCGTATTTTATTGGTATTGGTGACACCCTGTTTTAATATTGGATAATGTTTATCATTTTATAGTTAATAAGCTTTATATGTTGGCCAAGGTCATTAAATTTGACTTATGGTATTTGCTTAAGAGCTATCTGAATTATTTTGTTAATTATTAGACGAGTTATTTTTATTTATTTTTAGGAAAAGAGATTTACAATTGTCTCTAAAAGTGTTGGGACAGCAAAGTCAAAACATTTTCTTCTTTGCTTTCAGTTAAGCATTTTTGTATTTGTAGTTGTGACATATTTACAGTATAATGTTTAATTTTTCAATAATTCCATGCATACACTTGATCACATTAGAACAAAAACGTACTTTGATTTCAAGTAACCATAAGTATTAGGACACATTCACATTAAGTAAATTTCAGAGTGAAAAAGTTAGTTGTTTGCATATCCCTTTGTGACAATAACATTGTCTTCCATATAGGTTAGCAAAATAATTAAGTAAAATTAAGAATTCATTCTGCTGCTGCCATCATTACATACTTCGTCTATAAAGTGTGTCATTTCCAAAGGCAGAAATGCATACCCAGGTCATTACATTACTTTTACAATGCTTCACGAATGAGGTACTGTTCTTTGGAACATCTGCAGATCATTTTTTCTCCACACTTTAACCTTTCCACCACTTTTTTAACTTTTCCATAAACCTTTGTTTCAAAATTCTCCTGGGTCATCTTTGTACATCTGAGCAAATCCTAATTTGGCATTTCTGTTTTTGGTGTTGATGAAAAGTTTACATCATGTGGCGTAGCCTTTGAATTTCTGCTGTCTCAGTCTTCTTCGTACTGTGGATTTTAATATTTTCACCCATACATTCTGGAGGTTGTTGGTGATTTCACTGACATTTGTTTTAGAGTTTTGCTTCATAGCTCTGATTTTTTCCATCGTTTTCTGCAAATGATTATCTTGACTGATTTGGTACTTATACCTGTTGTATCCTTCTTCAAGTATTTCTTTTTTTCTGTGATACACTTCTAATTGACATTGTCTTTTCCTTAAAAGAAGTCTTTGGTTTTGATGCTAAATTGTCAAATATGGGGTCCAAATAATGAAGTCAGAGTGAGACCGATTTGATAGGATTTTCATAATTCTTTTATGAGTTGCTAATTGTCCCAGTACTTTCACTCTTTCAAAGTAAAGTGATTCAGCACTCTCAATTTCTGTAATTGACCCAAGAAAGCAGAACTGCATTTACATAACTAATAACAAAGTAAAACATCTATTTACCAGTCGTTTTTTTTAATGAAAAATTATAATTATTATTAGTACATAGAGAAAAATCAAATTTAGGCTTCATTGTCTCAGTACTTCTGGAGGCGCAATATTTAAAATTTCCACAAGTGCAAAATGTAAATGGTGTACAGTATAGCACATTTTTGGAAATAACTTTCTGCATAACGTGCTGCATGGAAAACTCTGTTCCGTTGCTTGCCTTCTCTGAAATCCTGATGCTCCGCAGTCCTTTCATGCTCCTTATGAGACGGCAGCTTGTTTTTCCATTTTCAATGAATTGATGTTCCCCGTTTTTTTCTTCTGCAGGAGAATTATTTTGGGGAAGATGACATGTACACCGATTTTGAAGAAGTGCTCTCGAGTCCTGTGCTGTCTCTCTCCACATCCTCCAGCTCGGGGTGGACAGCGGTAGGAGTTGAGGATGGTGACAAGAAGAATATTGAGAATGGAGGCAAGCAGATCCATCCCCTAACCCTGCGCCCCTGGGACATCACTGTGCTCATTAACTTGTACAGGGTGCATGGACGACTCCCAGTGGTGAGTGCCATGTAGCAAGAGCCTAAGCTGTCAGGAGGAAACTGGCTTCACAGCAAGAGTGGATTATTTTTATAACCACATAAATAAAGCCTTCTCCAGGGGGTGTTACTGTACCTTAATGTCATTATCCAGCTGCATTTGAGGAGGGTTTTCTATCTTCTTGGGGGGGAATAAAATGATTGTGGATTTAGCTGTGTGAGAGTTGTACCAATTGCCACAGTGCTTTCTTGTGAAGGTGATTCCATTTCTCCCCTTTGAGGACTTTTCAAAAGCATCCTTTTGTTTTCAATGCTTTTTTTCTCTACTTGAACAATCATTGTTCCCAGAAGCTTTGCTTTCTTCATTTACTGTCACTTCAGCTTTGTATCAATTGGTTTTCACTCCTCTCTATTGAAAATAACAGTTGATCTTTTCTGGATTAGTGCCAGTTGTTTTCTATGTTTAAAGATCCATCTGGATTTTTTATTTTTGGAGCCCTTACTAAGCCAGGTTCATTCACACCCCTGATGGAAAAAGGAACAAAAACCATTATGCTGCTGAATGAGTTGTGCATTGCAGTAGTTCCACTGTAATCATAATCGCATGGCACACAGCAAAACCATATGTGTTATCAATAATTGAATTTATAAAATGTTATAACGGCCTCTGACAGTTCCACAGAAAACATGCAGTAGTAGCATGGATCACCAAGGTTAATGTCGGGGATGTCTTTCAAGACCACAGGCAAACGGTCATCTCCACAACTTGGGAATGACAATGAAAGAATCGACAAAAAGCTGCGTCTACCACTTTCTACCGAAATGCTCATTATTAGGAAACCCCATAAGGAATAGGACTCTTGCTTGTTGCTCCATGGCATGGGCTATGAAACAAGTGCTAAATCCAAAGGCAGCGGTTGGAGATCTCCAATGCACACAGACATCTTCAGCATACAAAGTGTCCTAAGTCTACTAATGTGGAAAGGATAGCTGGGTTGCAAGGTAGAAGCCTCTGGTAAAGGAGCAACTCAAACTTGCCAACAATCAGTTGAATGGGAATTGAAACGGTGTTTAATGGTCAGATCAAATACAAATGGAATTTTTTAGATGTGATCATCAGTCCTAGGTCTGGTGTAAAAAAGGAGGAAGAAAATGTTGAGAAAACACTTATACTCACTATAAGATATTATGGGGGATATGTTATGGTTTGGGGTTGTTTTATTACAACGGTGGCTCCTGGAGCCTTTGTCAAGATCTGGTAATTCCTGAACTTGAAACAAGTACCAGGATATTTTGGCCAGACACCTGCTTCTTTCTGCCAAGGATCTCAATCTTGGCTGAAAATGGACATTTCAGCATTACAGTGATCCCGGGCTTATATCCAAATCCGCACGCAGAATCTAATAGCACCCTACAGGGAGTGTCAGCGTAATCCCTGCCAGAGAAGAATTTACAAAATGCTAACTACAAGGATATGAATAAACATGATTGTCATATTTGTTTCGACTTTTATTTTTGACAGATGTGTCTTTGCACTATGGAATAATATTTTGATTACTTATTTTAGAATGTTTTCATGCAAGATGCACGATCTATTCTGTAAATCTTCCCATTACTTAATGATTATCATTCCTGTTTCATCGGAGGTACTCAAGAATTTCGAGGGCATTATCTTTAAGAAAGTTTAGGAAGAATGTTTGCATTCTCTGAAAATGTGAATGTCTAATTCACATTATTTGAGGTGTTGTGTTGGATCCTTTTGTCCTTAAGTGTGTCCTGTTAATTCAGCCGCTTTTCGTTTAGCAGTAAATGCAAGAGTGAATGCAGGCACAATTGTTGCATTATCACTGACTTTTATAAAGTCTTGCTTCTAAGTAATTGGTTTTTAAACTTTTTTTCTCTTCAATAAATTATTGAACGTTCTTGTTCTCCGTGTTGGACATGAAAACATATATATTATATATTATTTGAGATATTATTTGGAATTTCACTGTGTCACCATGGATTCAGGGATTTGACTGGTTACCTGAAGATCACATTCAAATGTCCTTTCTATCAGAACAATAGTTTCCTGTTTCGGTATTCTGCATACACTGTAAATAAGCACTCTTCAACAGTGAAACTATTTATCCCTCCCATTTTCTAACCGCTTTATCCAGTTTGCTGGGTGATTGCTGGGAAGCAGGAGCCTGTCCATGCTAAAAACAGGAAAGAGATGGGATACACCCTAGACAGGATGCCAGTCTGTCACAGGGCACACACTGATACTGACACAGATGCACTTGCAGCCAGGTAACCTATCAGTATGTCTCTGGACTGTGGGAGGAAACCAAAGCACAAAGTCCACAGGCAAAAACCCATTTGAACGTGGAGACCATACAAACTCCATGCAGATAGCATTCCAGATCTGAAATTTAAACCAGGGCATCAGTAACATGAGGCATCAATGTTAACCACTGTGCCATTGTGCCTGAAGATATTTATTCGCATCATAATTAGCTAAGAGATAACACAGAAGTAACACAGGTTTGTATTGAGTATTTAAAGTAACATGACAAAATGTCACTTTTTTTGTGGCGGCTGAACTAACAATTTCAGCATGATATGGGGTAAATTCGTTAATCTTATTATCATTTGTCATCAAGAGTTTCCCTCGATTTCTCCTGGCTCTAACAAGTTGCTGGCTGAAAATACTTGGATTTCATGGAGAAAAAGTAAATTGGTGGCAAAACCAGAGGATGTTTTGTAACCAATTCGTAATTTTTTTCAGCTTCTGAAAGCACTTTGCGTTTTGTGATAATTTAACCAGAATATCTCTCCTCGGTTGTTTTCTTATAAAAACAACCCAATGTTTTTAACCAAATGTTTGTTAATTTTGCCCATTTTCCTTAAAATATCGATTTTGGAAGAACATGAAAATAATGTGTATAAAATTTGTTGGTGGGAGCAATATGGTATTTTTTCTCAAACCAGTTCTGAACTCGGGTATTAAGAAAGATGTTTTGTTGTTTAAAGTTTGTAGTAAGTGTCTGCTTTGCAGACTTCTCTTCCAGTGTTGTCTCTTGGGCTTTTTCTTCCATTGCTTGTCTCCTTAGAAGTGGTTTGCCTTGAGCTTTCTGAAAGTTTCTTTCTCTCTTGTTTATTAATTTATCTACAGTAGGTTATGCTCCATCGAACAGTAAATCCCAAGTCTTTTTTCTGCACAAGACACTTGAGACATACAGAGATGGGATTGATCATAAGTAAACAGAGTTTTGGAGTTTCAGGAAATTTATATTTTTTTCAATTATTTACAGCACTGCAGCAGCGATGGTCCTGAGTGTCCAGCAGCCTACCTAGAGAGACTTTGCTTTGAAATGAAGAAAGGCTATAAAGAGACCATGCTTCAGCTAGTCTTGTCTCCAGTACACATCTTTGTGAGTGACAATTATCAGGTAAGTTTAACACAGCTGAGGGGGTTGGTCTTTTGCTTATTAAAGTTATGTCACAGGAATATGAAAGATATACCCAAGTGCTTAGGTAAACCCGCAGTACTTACCCTGTTATCGGAATTCCTGTATAATGCCTAAACAGGCTGCCAAGAGAAATAACCCGCATCCTAAATTGTTGGAATGCAATTCAGTGCTAATTCCTGTAAATCCAGATACCCCAATGAACGGGAATGGGAATCTCTCTGTTTTTAAAAACTCTCTCAGACTATGAAAAGATAAGATCACTTTATTAGGCATATACAATTTCTTGCATTAGGAATTTGTCTTTCTGCATACCCCAGCTTGCTTCCCATGAGACACACAGACAC